AAAAAAGTGGGAAACCCAGGGTGGAAAAAAGGGGGGGGGGGGTGAGACATCTATTGTCTGCAACATACAATGCTGTTTTGGATGACCAGTGAAACGTCTTCAAGAAAAATACAGCAAGTCCAGCTGCCTTGACTCATTTTTTACACATATGCCATGACCTGGATGAATGAGAACCTTCACAGGCATTTGCCAGGCAAACAGCATTTTCGAAGGAGTTCAGCAATGGTTGCCTCTTTATCCAAGTTAGTACAGGTTTTACTTTATCTGCATTTAGACACTTTTAAAATGCATTATTACAATTTCTACAAACTATTGTAATCTGACCAAAAAAGGATGAGACTGTATCCAAGTACGGAACAGAGTATTGTATTGAACACACAGAATCATAAAGCCATTACTATGTGCACCATATCATTTCTTAACATTGCACTTTATATTTTTTAAACACTGCAAAACAGCACATGCAAAGAGTGAAATGCAAAGCCAGGGTGAGAGAGTACTTGGCAAGATGTACTATTCCCTTGGTCTCCATCTCTGAGCAATGTTATCTGAGGACAGCATTTTATCATGCTTAGCCTAGTACTTTTTGTATGAACAGAGAGTTTGCGTGGGACAATGAGTAACTACCATGCAGACAGTTTACTGCCAAAAAGTCAAATATAGACTTTAATGAAGAACTCTGGGCAAAACGTGTATGAACCCTTGCAGTGGGGCTACTACGCCTGCACTGCAAGGGTTAACTTCTCATTTTTGTCTGTTAAAAATAAAAGAAAGTTAAATTTCATCCAAACAGCTGAGCGGGGGTAGCCAATTGCAAGGGTTAAGAACACTTTGGGCCAGAGTTCTTCTTTAAGTCTCTCTCAAGGTGCCCATACACCTTACGATTAATCGGACAACATTTTTCTGTCCCGATTATTGAAAGGTTCAATCAGCGGTAGTAAAAAAAAAAATAAACACCTGGACGACTTGCGGTAATTGACCGCAATTATTTTCGTTTGCGCAGTGTTAATCGTACGACTTTTGACGGACGGAAACGCCACCAACCATGCGAACATCGTACGATTAACCAAAGTTTTCAAACATGCTGGACCGTCAAAAGTCGTACGATTGTACAGTACTATCGGTCGGGCACTCTATTCACACGTTACAATTGTTGTACGAAAAGTCATTCGCATACGATAATCGTAAGGTGTATGGGTACCTTTATACTTGATCAGCTTCTAAATCATCCACCATCAGTGAAAACCAGATGGATGTGTAACCTGCTGACTGCTAAAAAAAAAAAAAAAAAAAGGTAGGAAAGGAAAAAATCTGTCTTATTCCTCAGTCTTCTTCAAAAGGGTAAGTAATAATCTGTTTTAGCACTTTTGTAATGTATGGAGGGCTTGCTTGTCAGGCCAAAGAAAAGACGTTACACTCATTATAAGGCTGTAAGAATTGGTGAAGAGCATGCCAAGTGCTTAGGAGAAGAAAACATATTCCACTATTTCTGAAATTGGAAAACCTCGTCTTTGTAGGAGAAAACATGTCATAAACTGAAAATAATGTGTAATAAAGAAAGGTGATATACCAGTTTATACTGCAAATTATTGTGAACACGCTGGTTTATAAGAGCAAAAAGCATTCCCATCATAGCCAGAGTTGGTTAGATTTAATAAAGGAAAACTGTGCACACTCCTATAGACAGGTCTGATGTTTGTAGCACTGTGTGAGGGGCTAAACAGCTGTAGGAAGATGAAAACATTCGGAGTGAAAGACCCCGACAGTGAACGTATTCCACCTTACAGCATAAAAATGTGAGTATGCCAAAGATGAACAACCAAGAACAGTGAACAGAGGGCACAACTGCAGTCCATGCTAATTATTTAATGTGCACAGTACTCTAAGGCCCCAATGGACACAGGAATTAAAATACATGAGTTCAGGTGCATTTTAAGCCAATTTCTAAACGCACCTGGAAGCATGTAAAGCTTTTTTTATGGCTGAATGCACACTAGACATTTGGTAATGTGCAATTAATCTTGCTGCATTTACACAAACAAGACTTTTCTTCACCCTGGGACACTGTATCCTGGTTTTACCTGGTGAAATGCACGGAAATACAATGCAAACACTGCTAACCCCAGAAACATCTAAAACACAGGAAAAACTGATCTGGGAAGCATAAAAAGTTGTTTTTACTTCCCAGATAACGTCTCCTGTTTCACTGTGTGTATGGGGCCCAAACATGTACCTTTGGTCTTTTCATACCCTAGCAACAGCCATGAACAGTGTGCCAGTGGTCTCTCATATGGTGTTTAGAATATGGAGCTCCATTCCCCACCAATTTGCATCAAGTCTTCTTTCGCCCATCCTGATAGGATGAACAGAACAGTGCACAGAATGTCTCAAGCTGGAGTTCCAGCTGGGAACTGTAATGACTGTAGGGGATACAACACACTGTGAAATGTTTGCTTATCTATGTATAAAGCTTGTTTCTATGCTTCTGGCAACAGGATTAGGTGAAATTTATGTTCAGTGGAAATATAGTTGACATTGTTTATTCCATAATATTAACATATTAAATCCTTCCACAACAATACTGCAATGCAAAGTAATCATAACGCGATCAGGTGCAACTATAATGAGACGAGCAGTATTTTTTCTGACTGCATCGGAACAGACTGCACTGCTGTGAACAGAGCACCAGAAGACCTATTGGAAAGCATTGTGACGTGATTTGGATGCAGCAGCCAAACTGAACAGACTGCATCTCACCTGCATCTGGGGTGAGCTAGCCATTAGCAAGCAGCATTTTGTAGAACCACAGTCTACATTGACCTTTACTGTCACATCCAACTAACAACATACCTCCCAACTTTGTGAGACAGAAAAAAGGGGACACATTATAGTACAAAGTATGTAGGCAAAGGACATGTCCATATCACACCTCCAGGAGAGATCATTTCATCAGCCCCCTAAAGAATGGGACAACAGAGGAGGAAAGAGGGATTTGGTTCCATAAAGGACAGTCCTTTCAAATGAGGAACAGTTGGGAGCTGTGTAACAAGAATAAACCCACTGAAGCATTTACCGAATGCTCTTATAAAGACACAAATCTTTTTACCTATTTATAATAAATGTGAGAAATATTTATATTCCAGTGTGTTCACAATACAATTTTTTTTAAAGAATCTTGAAAACTCTACATCTAGGGGAAGAATGCACAGAAGAAATAGGAAAAAGAAAGGATCGTCTGCAGTACTGAATCAGCTTCCAATAAACGATAAATACAGAGGCATTTCAGAAATTCATTTGCAGGTCTCCAGCACAACAATTTGTTTTTTTCGGGGACTATGTTCTCTAATCTCAAGCGGATTGCCCAGTCATACGTTTTGTACTATGAGATTGTCCTCTCATAGCCCATAGCACAAGCTGTAATTATTTCACATCATTATCAACCCCAGGAAAAAAAGCCTCAAAGAGTGTATGTTTAAAGAGGTGGCACATTCTTTTCCTAAGGGCTTTGTGAGGCCTGTCACATGAGTTATGTTAAATTTAACCTTAGCAACCTAGGTTTCCTACTTACAACGTATACCCTTCTGATCTCCAGCCATGCGAGACTTCCAGTGACACTTGGTAATAAAGCGAGAATTATTAGTAGCAAGAAGCAGGACTTTGATCAGCTGCTGGAGACCACAACATCTACAGGTTCTACTTCTTACTAATCAAAAGGACACCACTGTACACACTGTACAATAGCACTTCCTTACATTGTTTTACCTCAGTAACCTTTCACAATTATTTGACTTAAAGCTGAACTTCAGAAATGTAAGTTTAACAATAGATCGGGTAAGCTTTGTTACATGTAATAATTCATGTGTCACATCCGGAGGGCCACTGGGGATGTTGCTATTCACTGTAGTAGTCTGTGCTACATACATTCAGCTCTGTCCTGTTTGGGTGCTGCGGGAGTGACGTCCCATTTGTACACTGAACACAGAGAGTCACTCACTCCCGTACTTCTGTATGGCAATGTAAAACCCCACTTCAACTGAACACCTGCCAACACAGGCCCTAAGGCTGCATTCACATGCTGCATTCTGGGATTCTTGCCACAGGAATCCCAGATGTGCCTGTTCAGATGCGGATGCTGTAGCCATTCAAGTTAATGAAAGGGTGACAGTGAGTGGCTGCATCTCCCGGCGGTCTGTATGCGATTATACATGGTACGATTACATGCGCTTTGGGACATGATTGTAGCTCTACATAGGATAGATGCCTCCATGAGACAATCGTATAGCCCACACCTACGGACTGCCGCTGACAGATTCTATTGCTGGCACGATGTCATTATCTTGAATGGGTACAGTGGTTCCATCTGAACGGGAACATCCTTCCACATGAACCCCGGAACACAGCAAACTGCATGTGAAAGGGACCTTAGACTCCACTGGTCTGCACAAGCAACTGGTGACATTTGTTAGAAGCCATCTTTTGCAATCCAGTCCTTTCACTCGCAGTTCTAAGCTATTTTTCATTTCATATTTTAATGGGCCATCACATTATTTTATTTTTGATTGGAGTTCTGTCATAACTGAGTGAAAGAATTCCACTGCACCCAACTAGGTGCCAACACTTTCTCAGCATTTTGATACATGCAAGGTAATATTCCCACACTAGGTTTGATAATACATCTCGGGACAAATCTCCTATTGTGCCTAAACTCTGACCACAACGTCTACAAATACACACCAATGGATGGCACTTATATTTGTCTCTTCACCAGCCATCATTGGCTAGCCAGAGCAATCTACTGTGGTAAATAATCACAACTGTACTGCAGTAATGTTCTCCAGTAAATCCTGATCTGTTTAGTTTATCTGGGTGTTCCCAGCCAACAACATTAATGTTCTAGAGATTTCTTTTTGTATACACACAATCACACAATATTTCAAATGTATCTAAAGACAAACAAGGTCATACAAGCATATATTAGTCAATCATTTCTCTAGCTATGTGTTTAGCCGCAGAGAAACTATGCTTATAAAAATCAGCCTGGAAATATTTCCGGAAAAGATTTTAGTTATGAGTCACACAGCCAAAGACCTGCTCAGATTCTACTTCCCAGCTTGTTTATGTCTGACATCCAAAAATACTTTCATACCACCAGTTTGGAATATACAAAGCATGGGTTTCTTGCCGGAGATTGATTAAAACTAAAGAAAAATAAAAAGCATGTGATTTACTTCCAGAACAAAATGTGTTGGTCACTGCCGTTGGGGCTGGGGAGGGCCCAATGGCAGTGAAAACCTGGGTCCAAGAGCTGTGTGTTGCTGGGGTCCTAAACGGAAGGGGGCCACTGGTTGTGGCAGGCGTGAATGGATGCGGGCTGATTGACACTGTCGGGACTGAGAGAGGTATGGCCCGGATGGTGTGGAGTGTATGGCTGCCACAGTGGTCCCCTTCCATTTAGGACCCCAGCAACACACAGCACTTGGACCCAGGTTTTCACTGCCATTGGGCCCTCCCCAGCCCCAATGGCAGTGACCAACCAATACACCTGCTCGCCTTCCCCCTAATCTGTTCACACACATAAGAGAGCGCACACCATTCCTATTATTGGAGGATTCCCATCAATCTACCCCTCGTCGATGATATCGCATCATCACTCACTCCTTGGTAAGTTGTCATTTGCCTCAATTCCTATTTTTATTTTTACTAAAGTCACTGCATGGTAGTAGCGCTTCTGTCCTCATTTCTTCTGTTTTTATTGACAAACGTCGGACACCCCGGTCCGCACTTAAAAGAATCTGCACACTTAGCATCAAAATCCATACCCACACATCCTTACCCTCGTGTAGCGCTGCATCAGGGGACAACTCTCTTCCTTTTTTTTTTAAAAAGCACTTGCCCAAGTCGGCCCCTACCACAATGCTTGGGACAGAGTTATTAGATCTCAGCCAGCATGGTCGGTGAAGCATGGGGTGAATCCTTTTTGGATTAAATGCGTGTGGAAACCTCAACAGGATTCACTTCCAAAGAAACACAATTACTGATAAGTTGCATCATAAGCGGATTTCTTATCTCACTCAGCCACTTTAGGAACAAGCTATTGCCATCACAACTACTACTTCTGCCTTTACAAATTTATATAGTGGTGTCTCACTCCCCCCACTGGATTGTCCATAGCATAAATAATTGGGAACTTAGGCTGTGAAGGACTGACACTGATTGTGGACTTTTAGAAATTGGCAGAGACACCATCTAATGCAGTGAAATCTCATAACAGAAGCCTGTGAGATAAATCAACCAAGTGGTCAATCAACTGCAGAACCAATTTCTGGTGCAGCCGACTTAACTGTCAATGTCCTCAGACTAAATTCTAATGGTACATTCACACCTTTGCATCTGCAATTCTGCATGGTACCATTAGTCCTTAAGAAAGATGTGCTGGCTGGGAACCCGAAATGCACAGTAATAAAACACCGATGTTAGCGGTGTCTAAAACTAAATCATTTATGTAAGGACAAGGGTGGTGTGCAAAATAAAGTCAACCATACTGATTACATATCATATTTTACTGATCTTTTACCAATAAACTGTTGAAATCTCACACCTTACTCATGAAATAAAAGTCATCCATGAAGGAAGCTGAAATATAGGTCATCTTATGGAGATGGTCCAGTCATGTAGGCTGTGCTTGGACTCCTGATGAATATGGTGGTTAAAGTGACATTAAAGTCAAAAAAATGTTTCCCTCCCCCCCATGTTAATGTTAGCACTTACCTTAAATGAGGTCTCTTATTCCGATCTTCTTCCCTGATGTTTTAATCGGTCCCTCCAGCGGTGCGGCGGCTCTCCGATCCAGCGCTGACTGCTCTGTCCCTCCGATCTAGCGGTGTCTGCATGCGGGTGCACGCGTCCATACACTTAGCTTGCGTCTCTGCTCATCTCCCGGCCGAGAATCCGAACTGCGCATGCGCCCGCCCCAAGATGCTTTGCGGCCGCCCGAACAGTTTCGTTTTCTCGGGTGGGAGCGCGCAAAGAACAAAGGGTAAGTTTAAACCGCTGTTTTAGCGTTTTTTTTTTTTTTTTTTTAACTGTTTGCCTATATCTACTGCTTGATAGGAGAGTAAGCCATAGTAATGAAGGAAATCATCTTTCACTTTTTGAATTACATTTAACTGCAGTGCTATGCATCGCCACATTTGCCAAATAATCATGGTTCTTTGCTTGGTCCCGCTACATAATTCTGCATTAATTCTGAAAATATAAACTGAAAGTGTGGCTCTGGATTTTGCAAGAAGTATGTTTTTTTGGATTCATACTCACTGTTTTCACAGTGCTCTCCATCATAGCCAGGAAGGCATTTGCAGACATACTGTGCAAAGGTATCGCCTCTCCGAGTGTAGGACAGCACTTGACAATCACCATCATTCTGGCAGGGGTTTGGTTGACAAGGACCTATCAATGTAAAAGCATAAAGAGCCAAGTCACAAAATATAATAAAGATTATATAAGTAAAACACATCAGACAATAGAGTAATTATATATTTTAAAGCATGGTAATACTTATGTTACATTTTAAATTATTTCATATTATTTAAAGATAAAATCTGATTGGTTGATAGAGATTAGTGCTCTTCAAAGACTGGGTATAGACAGTGCTGAAAACAATGCTGTCACATATTTGATTTTCTAGTACCCCTGTTGCTCCTTGGTTCGTGTCCTGATGACACCCAGGATACCGTCACCAACTCCTTTTAGATTCTCAAAAGGAATGCATAGAGAATGCACTCCAGAAAGGGGAAATGGAAGTGCTAATTGTCACTCGGAACAGGAAGTAAGAGTAGAGCCCTCTCAATAGAGGTACAGGGAGCAATAAAAACCTTGCCGCAAAATCTAGTCCTTTCCTACTGCATTCTGAAAAAAAGGCATTGAAACATTAACACATTTTAGTTAATGCCACTGAAAAAGCAAATGTTTTTCACAGATCAGACGGTAACGCAATGAAATAACAGGACAGCTGTGATAGCAGTATTAATCACTGAGCGGTCTAGCAGTAAATATTAAACAGCTCATTAACGGCATCACATGCAGAGAGATCTCTGCTAGTCGGCAACATAGGAGGCATTCAAACTGAAAGTGGAAAGGAAACCTGCCATGAAATCATTGAACAGACTGCCATTAAATGACCTCATTTAAAAAAATGCTAGCTACTTGGATCCTTCTGCTTATTTCACTTGCTGCATACTTGATGTGGGTCAGTGATTCAAAGTACTCAAGTCAATGTATCAGCAAAAGGACCCGGAAACTAGCATTTTCAGAAGGAGATCAGCAATAGCAGACAATATTTTTGTTATACAAGTTATACTCTTTACAGTTACCATGCAGGCAGTGAATGGAACCTAGTGGTACAGAGTCCGGTCTTAATATCTTCACTTTAAAATATCATAAAATGTTCTTTATAATTTAAAAAGCAAATAACTTACTTCTATACTCTCCTTTTTTTTTTTTTACAACACAATGTTTGATCCATAATGACAAGTGCATTACAAAAAAGTGACAGAGAGAAGCTAGGCTAATGATATCCTTGTAAACAATGCTTGCTGCTGCCCGAAGAATGGCCTTTGTGTCCTGAAAGCTTGGATCAGCCATTATTTTTTGTAGGTTTCCATTACTATACTAATCCCACACTAATACATGCAGAACAATTATTATGAACTGGACTAGCAACCAATTGAGTAAAAGAAATCTTCTGTTTAGTCATAGATACAGAGATTCAGAATAACTAAGGAACCACGTATTTCACGAAAAACAACTCTGCACAAATAACAGACTCTGACACACATGCATTGTCCCAAATTTGTGCCAACGTCCATTATAGACGGTGGTTTGTGTTTATCTTGGGGAAGCAATGATGGTATAATTAATGATGGAACCATTTTGTTTTTCAGACCATACCAGCCATGGTGGCTTTTATCTGCAAATGTGAAATATTGACATTCACTTCAACGCAAAATGGTATAAGAAACATATTTTTAGACAATGTTTTCAGACTGATCACTGGTGCCGTTAATATATTTATAATAACAAATGACTGAACATGAGATGTATACTTTTCATGTGCAACATCTTTCACAATACTATAGAAGAGGCCCTCACAAGAAGTTAATGTTCAATACTTACTGTCAAATGCTGGCAACATATTGATATATTACAGTTCTATTAAACTTTATTTTCCTGTAAACACATGTCCTCTTTTTGTCAGATCTCTGACCTGTGTTCCTCTCCGATTACGGTTCCCCTGACTTCGGGTTAGTGTGATCTAATGCATAAGGACTGCACGTCCCCAGGATTCCTTGTGTGTTGGAAGCTTCAGCTTACATTTTTATATGCTAGGCCTCCAGTCCATCTCTATGTCTTTAAAGAGGCTCTCTCCAGGCATACCTGCATTCAATTTATCTACTGCTTTATATGCTCCACTATGAAGGCCTTCAAAGATTAGAGTTAGGACCACACTTCACAGTGAGGCAGTGTGGCTTCCACATATTTGAAAAGGTTGTGCAACTAAAACCTCTGTTTTGAATGCATAATGTTAAACAGTGTCATTTGTTTTGTTGCAGGCTAGCTGGTAACTGTGAGGGGAAATGTCTGTGTTTTGTATTCCTTGCGAGTTGCTCAACTGTGCATGCCCCCTGCATAGTACCATTGTACCTGATCATGGTTCCTTTCATGCTGCCTGTAATGTGCATGTGTCCTTCTTGCACAGTAGCAGAACACAGCATCAAGCGGCATGTGAAGATATAGTCATAGCCAGGAGCGCATACATCATGAAGGCTATGCATGGCCTTCGAGGAGACCCTGCAAGGCAACGGAGCCACCCTATATGCGGAAATTAAACACACCAAACCTTTGAAGGCTCATTATGCTGCAAAGACTGCTCACAAACAGGGGACATGAAACAATAATGATTAAAAGGTATGCTGCTATTTTGTTTTTCTTTTTTACAGGAATTGTTTAATAACACTTTAATGAATTTCTTTATAGATCTATGGAAAAATGTAATCCTCCTCATAAGCTTATTATTTAGAGAGAACACAGGTGGCTAATTCAGTACATGATCAGCAAAGTATTGGGCTGTTGTGGATGTGCAGTAATGTAAAGTGCTGTGTAAATAAATTCTTGGCACTATATAAATATCTGTTATAAGTAAATACTGTAGAAGACAATAGTATCAATTTAAGTCTCAACTTTCTGCCTTTATGGATGAATAATTGAATTGCTTGAAGTTGAAAGCTTTTAAAAACATGTTGTTTCTAAAACTTGACTTTTTAAAAACATTCTTGTTATTTAATATAAAAGACATAAATATCCTAGTCAATATATATAATGCCAAGGACATGCAGGCTGGCAGAGTTAGCAGTGATGAATTTTTAAAAACGGTTACGTCAGTGTGGAGAATTCTACAGCAACTGTGACGGGTCACTAGAGCAGCATTTCTCAACCTTTCTTCAGTCATGGCACCCTTTAAAAAGTATGGAGAAACCTGAGGCACCCCAGTCAAAAAATTACATGTTGTCCCTCCAAAATCCATACTAGACCCTTATCTGAAATAGGGGTATGGTACGGATTTTAAGGGGAGGACCCCATCCAAAAACAGAGTACAAAAAAAAGTGCTACCACCTTTACATTAGTCCCCCTTCCATATTAGAAGCCTCTTTCACATCAGAGCCCCCCTTTACATCAGGAGTCCCCCTCTAATACCAGGAGTCCCCCTCAAACTAGGAGCCCCTCTTCACATCAGGAGACCCCTGTTTCACATCGGAGAAATGACCATATGCGAATATTTTGCAGGTACCCCTGAGGAGGCCAGAAGGTACCCTGGTTGAGAAAGGCTGGTCTAGAGCACAAGCTAATTCCAGGAAATGGTGGCCCTGACTACACCCATTACAGTGAACTTACTACAGAGCAGATGATATCTGGAATAAAGCAACACTCTTGTAACTAAAGAAAATCGTGATCATCCCAAGCCTGGTGTGCTTACCTCTCTCTGTCACGTTGCAGTATGTACCAGTAAATCCATCAGCACAGATGCAGAAGGGCTCCTTGTTTGCACCAGTAAAACAGGTTCCTCCATTATGACAGATGTTCTTTTCACAGGTGTCACCTTCAGAAAAAGGAACAGGAAACATCTTAAGTAAGGCATGAAAAGGATGTGGCAATATGCCCAAAAGGATGGCATTGTTTTCTTTACTCTCTTTGTTTGCAATGAACAATCATAACCTTTTCATTCTCAATCTGCTTAAGACCCATAAGAGTTCTTGTAGTTTTTATGGGCAACAACAACCCTTCAGGCATTTTTGATCATGAAGCACAAACCGTCTATACCTATTGTCATAATATCATCCAGTCAATATGGTACTTACATACACTAAGTTTCAGTTTTTTGGTTGGTTTACTTCAGTTATTTAACAACTCAGATGCAAGGCACTGTATATAAAAGAGCAGGACTTCTCATATTTAGGATGATTCAATAGCCCACAATGGCTCATGGCGATGAAACAGTGGGCAGCAAAGTGAAACCATCAGATAAGTCCTTTACTTAGCTAACAATTTGCTATATGAGCATTAGATGTTGTCCCTCTCTGCAAAGAACCTACACAAAACTGAAATTATACTTTTGGAGGAGTACCAGTAACAGGTTTCTTTTTTTTGTGCAGGCTGCATCCAAGGACATGCCTACCTACCTGTAAGGATGTGCAAGTATGGATCAGTATCAGCCATGTCCTGTCATTAAGTTGAACAGGCGGTAACATGCACCAGCAGTTCCCCCGGGCACAGGTTTCTGAATGGATGTGCACACTGTACGGCTGTGCACATCTGTGCAAATGAGACCTATTGCAAGAAATGCCGAAAAAAGGTCAGGGGCTAACAGAATCACCCGCTGGTTTCTTATATTATTTGAGAATTCTTCCATTCTCAGGTCTGGTCGCTTAAAGCAGGCGTGGACAAGTTATTATTGAATTCAGGAACCAGTCTGTCCAGTCCAGGAGCCGGCAAGATATTTGTTTAGGAGTCAGGTTCATTGACAGTAACTAGAAAAAACATCAAGTGTGAGATGCCGGCTATAATTTTTAAGGAGCTACCTGGCTCCTGGGATTTGTCCAGTCCTGAATTACGCTGCATCCACAGCCGCTGGTGTGCGTTAGCAGTCACACGTCAATGCACCAATTCTGGGAATTGCACTTTAACTTTTTTTATTTTTAAGAACTTTATTGAAATGTCATAAGTGACGTTTTATTAAGTTCTATGGGCACAGCGCTGCATGCAGTACTTTTTTTTTCCCCCATACATACACACCATCGCAACGCATGGCATTGTGGTATGAACTGAGCCCATCCATGACAAAGCAAATTGCCTAGTCATGTGTTGCAATGTGCTGAATAAAAAAAGGGCCAGTGCAGCCCCCAACGCTTTCGGTGTGAATCAAGCCTAAAAGTGTATTTCCACTTTTCCAGACAAAATTGGAATAACACCTATATTACGTTTGTTACATTTCCCATTCACACAGCATGACTTTAAAAAATGCTTCTTGCGCAAAACAAGCTCAATTCTGAAATAAAAGTTGTGCCTCTACTGCCTCTACTGTGCTGGTAAATCTCATTATCATTTGTAAACTGGGTTTGAACACTGTCTGTCCTAACAGAGGGTTAAAGATCTAGAAGCATTGTATGTTAATGAGGGGGAAGATTAGTCTGTCCCAAGTCTTTCTATAGGGATAGTCAGAGCTATCTGTCACTTGGAAATTGAGAGAGAAGCTTGCAAAGCCCTGCTACATGGAGATATCTAAAAAAAGGTAAGAAATATTTTTAGAAATGTTGTGTGAATAAGAACACATAAACATATAGAGAGATTCTTAAGTTTGACTGGAAAAGTGAAAATAAACTTTAAGGTAGACATGACACTTCACTCTATCATTTTCGGTAAACTATTCACTGTCTGCTACAAGGTAGATGTTGAAATAATGAAGCCTTCTGTAAGTAAAAAGTGAGCGCTTTTTGATCAGCATCCGAGACAGCATTCCTCACCACTACTAGCAAAACATCTCATGGTTTAGATGAAATCATCACCGCAGAATAGAAGGGGTGTACTCTAACCCCTGGAGTTCCAAGAGCAAAAGTAGTAAGTAGGTGATTTAACCAACAACCACCCACACCTAAGGGTTACATCAGTTTTGGATAGATGAAAAAAAAAAAAAGGGCAAGCGTAAGGATTTCAGCGATTTTGACAAGGGCCAAATTATGAGGGTCAGAACAACTCCAAAACTGCAGCTCTTGTGGGACATTCGCCTCTGCAATGGTCAGGACCTACCAAAAGTGGTCCTAGGAAGAAAAAACGGTGAACAGGGACTTGGAGGGGCCAAGGCTCTTTGATGCACATGGGAACCGAAGGCTGACCCGTGTAGTCCAATCCAATGAAAGAACTATTGTAGCTCAAATTTCTGAAAAAAATAAATGCTGGTTCTGATAGAAAGGTGTCTGAACACACACTGAATTGCAGTTTGTGGAGTATGGGTCTGTGTAGTCGCAAACCGGTCAGGGTGCCTGTGCTGACTCGTGTCCACCACCGAATGCTCTGACTATGGGCACGTCAGCATCAGAACTGGACCACGGAGCAGAGGAATAAGGTAGCCTGGTCTGATGAATTGCATTTTCTTTTACATAATGTGGATTGCCTGCCAGGTGCATGTGGGTCGCTTACCTGGGGAAGAGATGGCACCAGGATGCCCTATGTGGAGAAGCGGAGGCACTGTAAAGCTTTGGGCATTGTTCTGCTGTGAAGCCTTGGGTCCTGACATTCATGTGTATGCTACTTTGACACGTACCTACCTAAACATCATTGCTGACCAAGTATACCCCTTCATGGAAACGGTATTCCCTGATGGCATTAGCCTCTTTCACCAGGATAAAGTGTCCTGCCGCACTGCAAAAATGGTTCAAGACTGGTTTGAGGAACACAACAACAAGTTTGAGGTGTTGAATTGGCCTCCAAATTCTCCAGATCTTAATCCAAATCAAGCATCTGTGGGATGTGCTGGAAAAACAAGTTCATGGAGGCCCCATCTAGCAACTTAGACGACTTTAAGGATCTGCTACTGAGGACTTGGTGCCAGATACCGCAGCATACCTTAAAAGGAGGTCTAGTGGAGTCCGTGCCTTGATAGGTCATGGCTGTTTTGGTGGCAAAAGAGATCTTTTGGCATATTAGGCAGGTGGCTATAATGTTTTGGCTTTTTGTTGTAAGTTACTGTGGCTGTACATAATGCAATAATAAATTAGACCATTACAAGAATCCTTTGGTATAATCAACTGCAGTGTATGAGGTGCAACGAAAATTATCCTACGGTAAGGGTTGGTGATTTTTCAACGTGTCTGAATATTTCCTTTACCACATCACTGATCATTCACTGGTTTTAAAATAAAGGGATAATCCTTTCACCATGCACACACAGAATGGAAATCCAGAAGAATAAGAATACAATATTTTCTCAATAGTGATCCTTTGATATGTGTCTGATGAGAAAGTGAGTTGGTGGAGCACTGTAACATGGTATAAGACATATACCAATTTGGTGTGACGGCTCTTTTTAGGCAGCTTCAAAGTACACAAAGGATCCAGACTCAGCCCTTAGGTTTACAGAAATAGAATGTCAAGGTTTTCTTAACAGTCTAGATAAAATGTATCCATCACATTAATCTATTAAAACAGCCAACATGTTTCAAAAGTTCCATTGAGCCCTCAACAGAACCATCACTGCAATTGGCAAAACCTTGAACAGCTACAGAGCAAGAAGCACAAGCAAAGTGAACAACTGTGAAAAGGAGGAAAGAACATTCAAAAGAGAACTATGGGGTAACCTTTTTATCCCATAGTTCTCTTAAGGGTCACGGGAGGACATATGCTAACGTCCTCCCGTGACCCAAAGCTCATTACATAGCAAGCTACAGCTCGCTATATACTGAGAGCGTGGCAAGCCGGGATGGATCCTGACAATACTGTTGAGATCCACCCAGCTGGCTGATCTCTAGTGAGCTCTGCCTATCTAGAGCCAGAGCCAGCTGTGCC